TTGTTGTTTTTTCTTTTATTCATTTGTTATTAATTTTTATTGGATTAATTTGACTTAAAATTGCTCCAATATTTTGTTCCTACTGGGCTTATTAAAAAAAAAAAAAATGATTTAATATCATTCGTAAACATGTAAATAGGTCACAATAATACATTAATGCTTTTTAATATTCCATTATATTTATGTATTCAACTTATAATTATAGATTACTATATTAGTTTTAAATTCTGAGCAGAGTGATGAATGTTTTGATTTTACAATAATGTGTTCTTTTTGTGCTTTGACTTTAAACTTCAATATCTTTTCTGGTATTAAAGTAATTATAATTGGTACTTTTGGGAGGTCAAAATTAAAAATTCCAAGTACTTTTCTTAATAATTTTAAAAAAGATAAAAAAGGTTGAAATAGGTAACAACTTTACTATACACTGTACAGTTGTAGGTATCACTGTAATATGTATATTATATATTGTGTTAAATTTGAATTCAATGATAAATCATTGCATATATTTATATTACATTAAGTAATTTATTTTACTATTAGTACCTATTACGGTAGGTTGATTTAATTTTTACCAAAAGCATTGCATTATTTGCATTCATTATACCATTAATATTTAATTTAAGTATATATTTATAATATTATGTATTATTGTTATTAACTTTTGAGTCAATACCAACTTACTGTTGAACAGTGTGAATAAGTTTGTGGTATAAATAAGCAGTAAATTATTCTAAATGTTTTAAAAATGCCACTGTCCTTATAAAGTAAAATAATACACATAAAAGTTTCAAGACCCCGTCAACAATACTTATGGGTAAACGGAAAATATAATATTGTGTTTTGAATAATATAAATGAAATAGGCAAAATATTGGTACATTAAAATATTTTATTTTCAGTGGTTCAAAAAATTGGTCCAAAATTAAATTAAATATAAATTCACAAAATATGGGCAGGTGGGTCTCTCTCTGCTGTAGAGTAGGTTACAAGTGGATAACTGTACTAGATGGTTTTAAATTTGAATTCAATGATATAATATCATAGTATAAGAAAAACGATTCTGAGCGAAGACTGTTAGTCAACCTATGATATTACTAAGTATAATATTTGATAATAATATTGTGAATAAAGTAATTTATATATAACCTATTTACGTGGATGGAACCTTGTTGTACATTTTCAATCCTTAGCTATAAAAGTTGAATATTTTATGCATTTTTAACTACAAAATAATTATTAAATTTTATCAAAATTTGAATTTGAAATAGGTACTTATAAAAAAAATTGTGCCTATGTATTTTAATATTTTTCGACTACGATAATAACAATATATCAGCCCGATCAGGAGCCTTGTACTAAATTTTCACGTATTTTTACCCAACAAATAAAATTATATTGACAATTTTGGAAAAAGAAACTAAAAAAGTGCTCTGCTGTACAGTAGGTTACAAGTGGGTCACTGTATAATGGATAGTATTAAATTTGTTTCATTGTATAAGAAAAACGATTCTGAGCGGAGACGGTATGTCTGTCTAGGTATAAGACATATTATATACTTATCTATATCGTAATAAAAAAATTTTACCTAAAGGCTAAAAAAAAATCCAAATGAATTTATTACAATATCCATTAGGTACTTAAAATGCGTTATGACAAACCCTCATACTATCATAGTCCATACTCCATAGATATATAATAGTGTACTTTAGAAGTTTCAAGTACCCACGAATAATATTATACAATCACAACAAAAAAACTAAAATAGTTATTCTAGGTTTTTTTTTATATAATTTCGTCCAAATTTGAACTTAAAATGACTATAAGAATAAACTGTGCTAATGTATTTTTTAGATTTTTTGGTAACAGAATTCACTACCTACATGGAATCTTGTTTTAAATTTTCAATCCTTAGATATAAAATTTGAATATTTTATAAATTTTAACTACAAAATAATTATTCAATTTTAAATTTGATACATTTTGTCAAAATTCGATCTTTAAATGTATATAAAAAAAAAATTGTGCCTATGTACAATTGTAAAATGTTTAATATTTATCAAATGATATTGTAACAATATATTATAAGCGACTTCGTATTACATTTTTACACTTTGGGTCCAACAGATAAAACTTTATTGATATTTATAGAAAAAAAAAACTAAAAAAATTGAAAACTGTAATTGTCCATAAACAGCTCAAAAAGAGTCAAAATATTTCTAAAATTTTCAAAATAATTGTATGGTGTATAGGAAATGCTAATATAAATATTCGGTGAAATTTTCATGTATCTACAGTTATTCGTTTTGAATTACAACAAAATAAAGAAATCGCTAGATCAGAAATCGAGTGAATATCCTATGTTGTAAAAATTTGAATTCCAAACGCTTATAAAAATTTAATTTGACTTTCTTATCGACATTTTTTTTTTTTTTTTTTGATAAAGGTAGATAATTTTATAAGGAATCATGTATTACATTTTAAAATCTTAAATTTAAAAAGAAAAAGTTTTATGAATTCTTAACTCAAAATAATTTGCTAATTTTCGTGATTTTTCCATATTTTGTCAATTTTTGAACTTTAAATGCTTATAAAAAAACTGTGACAAAAGATTTTTAATATTTTTCATCCGCCTTTGAAAAAATATACTAGGAGCCTTCTATTAAATTTTCAAACTTTTTTAACCTACAAATAAAATTTTATTAATATTTTTAGAAAAAAAACTAAAAAAAAATGGAAAATGAAAATGTCCCTAAACAGTTCAAAATAAATCAAAATATTTTGAAAATGTTATCGTATATAGAAAATGCAAATATAAACAATCAGTGAAAATGTAATGTATCTACGGTCATTTTTTTTAAGTTACACCAAAAACCAAATTCAATTTTGTGAAAAATCAATTTTGCATAAAAATTCTCGTTTTTCCTTAATTTTTCTTTTGTTTTTCTTGGCGCTTTTGAAAATTACTGGGAATTTTAAATTTTGACCTTCCCTATGCACCAACGATATTCACTTTCCAATCGAACAAGATATTGAAGTTGAAAATCGAAGCATTATTTCGACTACTTATCGTGTACACGGACACAACAACAAAATTAAAAAAAAAACACATATCATTGTATAATCATTACATTCATTGTTCCACTCAGAATCTAAAAATCGCATGTATTGGTAAAATGTATTTGATCCCAAATGACACTAGAGTATCAGAAATATTTTTTTGGATTACAACTATATAGGATCATATAGTTGGAACTGTTTGAAGACTCGAATTTGGTTTGTATAATAATTATAAATGTAAACTACTTAGGTACTAACTTTCTATATGTTGCATAAATCATAAAATCTTGTCCACTAATGGGATTTATTCCATGACTGAGTTGGTTTTATATTATTAAGGGTGGAATTTTAAGTGACCGGATAGTAAGAAAAACTGGAAAAAAATCGAGCTAGAATCTGTGAAGGAGTTGGAAACTTGGAAATGGATGTCATACATTATTATAATCTTATATCTCTATCAGACTCTATATGAGTATATGACTCCAAAATTCTGGAATTTAAATCATAACCGTCAGTCAGTTCATAGTGATAAAATATATAACAGTATAAATACCTCATCTGAAATTATATTATCAGTAAAATAAATAAATCACACTGATTAAGTTAGATCATACTTTTCAGTCGCCAGATCTGAACTTCTGAAGTATGTTAGGTAAGCGTATTATTGAATTATGTTATAATATTTAAATTTGTTTACACTTTTAAACTTGGATTGGCTTTAGAAATTTTCATTTCTCAGCCGCTTTAAAAGTTTAAAAATCAGGTGGCGTATTGTCGTGCATAAGTAAGAAACGTTATGGTGCGGTACGTCGGTAGTCGGTACAACCGAATACGACGGAAGATTAACCCTTCCACTGATTCTTATCATTTAAATAGTCATCAGTCACGTGACGCACGGAGACTAAATACGACGATAACAAATTTTTAACATTACCTGCAGACTGCAGTTGCAGGCATCGTGCTCCTAACTACCAGTACTCAAGACCTTACAGCATGGATGAGCCAAGAAAAACTGAATTTTGTAGTATAAAAAAAATAACGTCCATCATATGTGTATAATATATTACGTTTATTTTCATAAATATAAATAAATAAACCAAATGTCATTAATACGACACATTATGGTCTTACAATATACCGGTAACATAATATTATACTTCGATAATAATAACTTAATAAATTAAATGCCTGCATCGGCAATATAGTAATGATAATGATATCATCATATAAATAGATTAATATTATTTTAATTTCAAGCCAATAATATTGATAAATAATAAATACAAATAAATAATTAAATAAATATAGGTATACAAATAAACATATTATTATAAATATGGTATATAGTACCTATGCCATCATAATAAATATTAAATAAATTAACGCGGAATCGAAGCTCCTGCAAACCACCGAGGTAGGTATATTATACTATAGATATAAATATAAAGTGTACCTAAACCTCGACTTCTACAAAGTATAAACGATAAAACAAGAAAATACTCGCACGCCAATGAATGGTGCCTGCATTCGACAAATAAAATCGTACAGCCGATAAAATTTGTCGATTTACACACATATTATTACTTATGGCATGTTTTTGACATAAAAATAAATTATATATTATATGGACCTTACTGCCGATTAGACGGCAGGGAAGTCGCCTTTGTTCCTTAAATTCATTTTTATTTTACAAGTACCTAAATATCCAAACCGCTTAAATTAAAAACTAATCATATATTATACCTATATCAGATATTAAAAATACCTATTATATTATATTATTATATAGATCGATATAATTTTTTTTTTGTAAATTTTTTTTTTCCTTGCTTCGGGTCCCTCAAATCCGCGTCGTTGCCGTATACATTAATAATAATAAATATTGTTAATCATAATAATATAATATTATTCTTAATTATCATCGTGTCGTCGTTCAGCTGTTCATTCGTAAAGGGTAGAGTCCAACATCGGCTCTCTCTGGAAACCGCGGCTGCCACAACCGTCTGGGCCCTTCGGCATCCTGACAACGTTATCCGGCGTCACGAGGCCCAAACTGGGGCGGCGGCCCCTGCCACCCGATGAATCGGAGTCGACAGATAGACGCCGGCCCATGCCTCCCTCGCCCATCGACGACGAGCTGCTCTTGCGCGACCAGTTGTGGAAGCCATCCCGCTGCTGGCTGCCGCAACAGAAGTCCGACGTCGAATCCTTGCGCATTATCATATCACCGCCTCCGCTGCTGCTGCTGCTACTGCTGCACCGCCTCATATCGTAGTGGTGCCCGTTGTCCTGTGTCGAGTGTCTGCGCATGGCCACAGGCTGTTGCTGCGGCTGTGGCTGTGGCGGCTGGTTGTGGCCGCAACAACAGCACGGTTGCTGCTGCTGTTGCTGCTGCTGCTGTTCGGGGCCGCGGTTGGCCAACGAAAAGCGGCGCATTCCAAACGTTTCCGGTATGGACACGCCGCTGCTGGAACGCGATCTTCCCGAGTAATAGCTTTCAGAGCTCGAGTCCCAGCCAGACGACATGCGCCTGTTGTGACCGTAATCGCCGGGCTGCTGCATGTGATGCTGCGGCGGCGGTACGTACGAGTCGCGTCGAGAGTACCCAGACGCGGAGCTGTCGGTGCCCGAGTCCCTGGACCATCTGCGCTGGTTCCACGACGAGTCAGACCGCATGAGGGTGTTGGCCGACACCTTACGCTGCATGCGCATCTTTTGCCTGTCCTCCGCCTCGGAACCGCTCTGGCACGACGACGAGTACTCCGAGTCGAATAGTCGGTTCATCGGCGACTTCTTGGCGGCTGCGGTGGCCTTCTTCTTGGACGCGGGAGCGTTGAGCTCGAGCACGCACATGGACTGCCCGTCCTTGGCCTTTTCCGCGGTCCAGTCTTTGCTCATCGCGTTGTGCGCTGACTCGGTGCGCACGAACTCGATCAGAGCGCTCACATTGCTGCCCATCTCTGGGTGCTTGTTGACGAAATGACGGACATCCGACGGTATGGGGTTGCCGGGACGGAGCACGCGGATCAGCGCGATCTCACCACATCCGCGGAATAACTCGGCCACCGACTCGATGGTAACCGGTTTCTCCTCGGCCAGGTTGATGGCCACGACGGTCCGGGATGGTGTCGTCTGGTCGTACGCGGGCAGAGGCTCCTTACGCCTCAGCTTTGTTCCGGAATCGTTCACCTCAAGCTTCTCCGACCTGGTTATGGCGTACGCGACAGCCCGCCAGTCCTTGGCCAGGTGCTTAACCCGCTTGAACGATGAGATGAGCTTCAAAGACACGTATCCTTCCTTGTTACGGCGGACATGTTTCAACAAAAACGCGTCTTTAACGATGTTTGCGTCCGAGAAGTAAAACTCCACCTGGTCAAGTATGCGCTTGGTTGTCTCCTCGTCTGGAGTTACGAACGGTGCGGACTCGTCACCGGACTTGAGCTGACCGCCCTCGTATGCCGAATCGGACGAGTCCGTGTTATTGATGGCGGCGGCGGCGGAAGCGGCCGAATGGTGCCGGCCACCGTCATCAGTGCCGGACCCGCTGGAGTTGTTGGCCGATGACATGCCGCCGGTTTGGCTCAGCGAACGCGGGTAAAATGGTGCCGCGTCGTAAGAAAGCGATATGTCGCTGTCCACGGACGATACGCTGGCGCGCTTCAAGTCAAATGCCTTACCGACGATCGGCAACGGGGCGGAGACTACGGACGTCTTGGACGCGGGCAATGGTGCTACAATCTCTTCGGTAAAGTCTTGGTCGACGGTCGACGGGGAAGTCACTACAGGACTCTGCTGCTGTTGTTCTTCTTCGACGACGGATGTGATCTCCTGCTTGATCTGTTCCGTTTCAACTGATGCGATCGTTGCTGCCATCGTTTGCGCGCGAACATTCACCACATCACACGGAACACGCGACGGCGGAGGTCGAAACGCGAATACTTGGTATCAGGTTAGTAGGTGGGTATGTTCTTGTGTTTCAAATTGCACTATGCGCACAGACACACGCGCACTTGTCGTTAGTACACGAACACACACACACGCACGTGAAACGGGTTTTTCCAAAACGCACGCGTCTTATGTGTCGCTGTCGACGCGTGTAGAAATCGAAAGTAACACAAACGAGCTCACAATGAAACGCGCGCGCGGCAACCCCCCCGAACACTATATAATACTATGATAATAATAGTATGCAGTTATGTATTATTATCGAGTTATTCTGTTGCGGCGGCGGTCACTCTCGCGCACTCCGCAGTCCGTACGAAAAATGGCTGTCGTACACGACGAAGATCGGAAGACCACGACGGGACGACTGTGTATATTATTCGAACGAGACGCACCCCCTGGCTGCAAGGCGGCGGCTATGCGGGCTATAGTATATGGTGGCGGCGGCGGCGGCGTCGACGATCGGTGTCCGCGGTCGTCTGTGCGGCGGCAGCGCGGGATTTATGGTGTCGGTGGCGACGGGTCGCGTATTTAATCTACGGCTGTACGTATTAAAAAATCAACTAAAACGCTGCCGCGGCGTTCACCTGCTTATATAACATGTGCGCCGATCCGTCCAGGGTTATTGGACCGCCGGCGGTTCAATGTCGCCGGGCCCCCACCTCGGCCGCCGGCGTAACGCCGTGCGTCGGCCCGTCCGCCGTCGTGTCGTGTTGTCCCGTGCGTCTCGCGAGCGAGAGAGCGAGAGCGAGCCGGCTTTATCCCGCGCACACGCATATGATGTGTGGGGTGTGAGTGTGTGTGTGTGTGTGTGTGCGGTAGGTACACCGATTTGCGCCTTTTACTCTCGATGACGGCGGTGGCGGTTACGCGTTGTTGTTTACTTCACTTCCGATTCGCAATATCCCGCACGCTCGTCGTTATAATATGCGCGCGCGTTCTCTTCCTTGTTCCGGACAACACGGCATTGAGACTTTAATGTACATGTAATGTCGAAGTGTTTGCGAGTGTGTGTGAGTGTGAGTGTACGCCCAGGACCTTGGGCGTGAAGGTGGCCGCTTGGATCGAGTCTGTATATTATCTCCTTTATTATACATAATAAAGGTATATATAATATATTATTATTATTCGAACAAACGTCGTGGTCGCCACAAACCATATTATGCATATATTATATATACAACCGCACATGTATAATATATAATATCGTGAAGATACGCGTGCCCTTAATATTAATAGAAAAAAAATCGTATGCATATTATGCCTATATAATACGATATTATATTATATAAGGTTAGGTTAAATTACACTAGGTTTTTTTTTTAAATTTTATATAGATATATCGTACAATTTGTATATACAGGTTTATTGTACGCGGTGCGTACACTAAAGGTCCTTCGGACGAATTTGGTAAATTTTTACGCTTAACCCCCACCCACCCCCGCGATGATATTGGGTGTATGTATTCAATATTGCAATATATAATATTATACATTTGTGCTCCGCTCGGAAACACAAAACAATAGAAATTATAATCTTGTAAAGTATTGTAACGCACAGTCGAGTGTATAATATCTTAATGTTCTACATACTTGTTCTCTCCAAATTCGTCCTTGATTGTTATATATTTTTTTTCAAATCCTTTTTCGGACGACGACGTCGATGATTTTCGGGGGCTGTCCATGACGACTAGACTTTACGACACACAGTGTACCAGCCGTATAACTGTCAGACAATGACATTTTGTGATCATTTTTATTTTATGATCGGACCCTAGAACTATTATCTTCAAATATTTTAATAGATCTCATACATTCCACTCCATATAGACATTTTTATTTAAACGCCCTTTTCGGGCTTTTCGTACCAACGCGCATTAATATTTTAGATTCTAAACGGTGCGATGAATATTATGTACCTATTTATTTTTTTACTAAGTATCTATAGCATACAGTTATATGTGATTATTTATTGATTCATGTTTAACACACACACGCAATTAGCTATTAAATAGGCACCCACGGTTTAAATTACATCACATACATTTCGGTAATTATACCGTTATTTGGAGAATATATATTATAGAAATACAGAATACACTGTGATGAATTCAATCACTCATGCCTGAACACCGGCTTAATCAAATAAATTCCAGATCTAATGTCTGCATTATAATATTATATAATAGGTCCCTAGCTAATAAGTAATCACTATCAACCAGTTTTTAAAAATGTACCTTACATTTTACAATATCTCCGATATCGAAAGTATTTTAGCATTCTGTTTCTATAATTATTCTCTACTCTGTACTCATTTACATATTACACATATTTAGTTTTTGTCAGCGATTTAACTACTGCCTTGAAGACCCAATGGAATCAACCTTTTTCTTTAAATAATATAATTTAAATATAAAATAAATTATTAATGCACTGTTTTTAATATCTTAGGTGTATATTTAATTTAATCATACAACAATTTGACAATAAATTTAACATTTATTTTTTATTTTTATTAATTAACAATCGTGTCATATTAACTTAATTATAGTAGGTGTTGTAATAAACAAATTAGATCCAAATGTTATGCGTAACACGCATTATTTTACATGTTTATATAGTTTGTCAATTATCCTTGAATGATTATTTAAATTTTAAAGTTTATCAAAATGTTTTCCATATTATTTAGGGTACCTACGTGCTCAAACATTTTACACGTATACCTATTACCTATGTTATAGGTAAATATAAATATATTTAGGCATCTAACCACCTAGAAGGCAATAATAAGAAAATTTATATTCGATGCGCGTGAGTGTGTGTGTGTGCGCGTGCGTGTGTGTCTGCACGTGTGTTTTATATTTTTCAACTCTTTCGAAATAAACATTTATGTTCTGATAACATGCCCTTTAAATTCAAAGCCTTGACTTTTAAGGTTTTTCGTATAATATGTTATCAGCGAGAAGCGTTAACATGTTTTCGTTCCTCTGTTCTACATTTATCATTTTGCATTGAACCGAGCAACCGACTCACCAACCTGTATAACAGCTATAAAAGCACAAAAAGCAAGTTTCGATAACGCTAGAAAATTTCCCTTGAAATTAAATTTGTATGGATACACACAACATCAATAGATGTCTAGGTATTAAGATTCGATATATTATACTGTTATTTTACACATCAGGTATATATAGGTTTATAATAATATTTAATATGCACAAATATAGGTCGTGTATCATAATATTTATAGATCAAATATTACGTATTAAAAAAAATTAAATGTAGGTAAGTGGTAGGTAATTTCTTTAAAATTTAAATGGGTTATATAGATTATAGATGTCTAGGTCATATTTATAAATTCAAGAATATCCTTTTTTAAAATCAATTTCAGAGTAAGTAGTAGTTTTATTCTGCTGATATAGAGACTATTTTCTCAACCTTTGGGAACACAACAAAATGTGTTCGGCAATTAGCGTTTTATAACGAATACGCGCGCGATATCGCAATCAAAAAGCATATTTACACCAAACAAGACCAAAGGCTACCGGGTCATTGCCGCGTGTATTCCGAACACGGTAATTAAACGGTATGTGTGCTGATCTAATCCGAATACTGTTGATTTACACGGAGAAAAATCGTACCCAAACCGGTACGTCACCTATATGGGCGGTGTATATTGCGTGCATATAATATTTAAATATTATATGAACTGCACTGTGATATAATAGTTATTCGTATTTCGTATGATGCTCGCGCCGTCTTCACTAAAATCCATTCTCAATATTCCTACAGGTATTTCGTTGCAGTTTGTATACCTAAACCAAAAATAGGTACCTGTAATGTACCTTATGCGACTTGCGGATTTATGAGGACAGTCCTATAAAAAAAACGTATCTGCGTGAAATCCGAATAGTACCTACAAAAAACGGAAACACGTTACAATTTATTCACAATAACGTACGAAACAAGCCGGTGACAAAGACACAGCATGCTCACGGCGTTTAAATTGCTGTAGGTAAATAGGTAGGCGTACCCCCTCGCAGGTCTTCCTTCATTCGCGCGCGTTAAACCGTTCAAGGCGAACGCAAACCGAGAACGCATTGTCACAACGTTTAAGTGTATAGGTACGATCCAGAATAAAGAATTAAACGCGGCAGTGTTTTAAACTAAATATATTTTATTTTTCTGACAAAATGTAGGCACTAGCTATATTACGGCACGTGGACGTCGCTTTCGGTTTGGTCATTTGCGTTTTCGTGTGTTTAAAATATGAATTATCTATTATGTTGTGTGGCACTGTGCTACGGGTAAAGCGTTATGCCTAGTCGATACACGTCCGACATTCTGACTGCAATAGTATTATAATAAATTTAAAATTACAGCATACCATGTCGTATAGTAGGTTCGTAGTTCGTACCTATATATTATACAAACGTTCTGATTATTGTCGTTCGATAATAAATACCATTATAATTATTATTATACCGTTTTCACTTTTAAGAATATCTGTTACGTTTACCGAGGCGATAAATCAACAGTACCTATGAAATATGAAACATTTTTTTTAATATTTTTATTTTTTTTCTGGTGATCTCATAGCTTATAATATTATATAGTAACGACTATTATAATAACAATAATTTGTAAATATGTCACAAAAATATTTGAATCGTGAAAACGTCCATATTATAGAGTGAGTGGGTACCTACTATAATAATGTTTATTATTATCATAAAACAGTAGGTATATTATTAAATGCAGGAAGCGAAATTCACTTCGGTTGTAGCCAACGAGATTTGGGCGATAGTGCGTGATCTAGGAGAATTCAGGGTCACCGAGTTCGAAAACGATTTGTATGACCAACGGTAATCATTATTTAAATTCCCACCGACCTACAATTTCTTTACGTATCAACTATCAAGACTGTACAGA